TGCTTTAATTGACTAATATCTATAACAGTTATCACAATCCCATCAGACCTGCGTTTATTCTTATCTGCTTTAATTGACTAATATGTATAACAGTTATCACAATCCCATCAGACCTGCGTTTATTCTTATCTGCTTTAATTGACTAATATCTATAACTGTTATACTTTAGTAATGACATTTTGTCATGTCTGTATCATACACAGGTTACTGAGCAGTTTTCTTCAATCTTATTACAATATTTCCTACGAATGATACGGCTATGGGTGAAGATTGTTGCTTGTTTTGAGTGGCTTGGTACTGTCACTGTGTTGACCATAACCATAAATGGTAGTAAACAGTGAAGAGCATGTTTTCAAGATGCTAATGACTTCCTCTCAGTACTTCAGTTAATCCTTTCCCTCCACAGAATTTAAACATGTTGATGAACATTTTCAATGAAATGACAGATATTCAACACAAGGTAAATACATAGATATCAGAAAACATTAGGCAATGCACGCAGCATAAAAACACTTCACCAAGTTACAATGAGGATATCAGACCAAGCAGCATAACTACTGTTAACTAGACATACCACACTGACACCTAGCTCATAACACAGAAGTAGGTAGAGATAGAGATGAAACCTCTAACAGCTTTGTGTACGAGCAGTCCACTGTGCAACCTGCCCTGCTCGATTCAGGTCATTAGTTTGTTTGTTTGTTGTCAAGTACAAAGCTACACAATGAGCTATCTACGCTTTGCCCACCACGAGTATCGAAACCCAGTTTCTAGCGGAGTAATCCTTCAAAACTACACAATAGGATATCTGCGTTCTGTCCTCCATGTGGAATCGAACACCGGATTTAGCGTTGTAATTCGATAAACCTACCGCGGACCTACTGGAGGACTGTAAAGGTGAACTAAATTTTGTGGACATTATCTAAGGTCATTTTTGGTCATTTACTGTGCTATAAAACTTTTTTGTTTGGTAACTATAGTATTCGAGCAACAGATAATGAAAGACCACAAAGTCAAGAACCTCACTTGCTTGAAGAGGTTCTCCATGAACAGAATTATTTTTTGTAACATGTATTTCGTTTGCTGACGTCCTCACTCAGAATTCAACCCCACAATAAACAAAGAGACTAACAGAAGGGGAAAGGATAATGATATTTTTTTTATAACTGCTCGGTTTGTTAGTTACCCAGTTCTATTTCTATTTCATATAAACGGTGTGTAAGAAACCCTAATTTAAAAAAACAACAACATTTAATATAAAATCCCCTACCAAGTCTGCAGGATTACGACGCTAAAAATCGAGTTTCGTTACCCGTGACGAGCGGAGCACAGACTATAATTATGTAGGTTTGCGCTTAACAACAATCAATCCCATTCACAAATACTAAATATCCTTAACTTTTTTGGGATCAAAGATAAAAAAATTTTAGTTTACCATTAGATTCTCTTCTTCTATGATAATCTAGCAAACCCATATTACTGTAATATTTCAATGTATTCGCATTTAAACAAGAATAAACATAGGAATCAACGTAGAACAAAAAAAATACTTACAAAAGTTGACACAGTAGTTCTTTGGTTTAGATAATTAAGTATTGTATAAATAAACTTCAATATTTCCATTTAGTATTTGACGTAATGTATCAATAATAAATAATTATACTTAATAAACAACACAAAATGGTAAACTTGTGCTTGAATATATTTTTCAATTAAGAATTATTCAATTCTTATTTCTTCTCAGACTTAACAATATGTAGTTTTAATTATGCTTTTTTTTTGTTTCATTTAGTGTTCAACGTTCTAGACGTTCAAAGCTAGAATAAACTTTTATTGATATGCATACCTAAAGCAAAGAAGAAATATCTCGACATATATTATTCACCTTTTTTTTTTCACGACAGTTCACTAGTATTTCAAAGATGTGATAATATTAGGGGGGAAAACGACAAAGGAAAGACCATTATACCCGACAAGATTGTTTTCCAATAACTTTTGAGTTTGTTAAATCAGACAAATGAATATGAACAGCTTTAGCTGAAGCCCTCTTGTGGCGCGGACTGCAAGTTGTTGAGCAGTCGTAATAGGTTGCAGAAGTATTGGAGAAACCACGGTCTCTTGCGTTGGAAGTAGCATTTCTTCGAACAGCAGCACGAAGATAGGCGTTTCTCAGAGCAGTTTGTACCTGTAGGACAAAAACAAACACAAATAAGTAACTGTAAAAACAAACCTTAAACAATATAAGAAATTTAGAGGGTGAGAAATGTTTTAACACCCTGTTCTTTCAAGTCGTTTAAAGTTTACATTCCGTGGAGGGTGTCAAGAAATTCTTCTTGGGTTAATCCTATTAGTCCTTTAGAGTTTACATTCCGCGGAGGGTGTCAAGAAATTCTTCTTCAGTTAATCCTATTAGTCGTTTAAAGTTTACATTCCGTGGAGGGTGTCAAGAAATTCTTCTTGGGTTAATCCTATTAGTCGTTTAGAGTTTACATTCCGCGGAGGGTGTCAAGAAATTCTTCTTGGGTTAATCCTATTAGTCGTTTAGAGTTTACATTCCGCGGAGGGTGTCAAGAAATTCTTCTTGGGTTAATCCTATTAGTCGTTTAGAGTTTACATTCCGCGGAGGGTGTCAAGAAATTCTTCTTGGGTTAATCCTATTAGTCGTTTGGAGTTTACATACCGCGGAGGGTGTCCAGAAATTCTTCTTGAGTTAATCCTATTAAGACAGTTACTCAAAAGTAGCCCATTTGATCTTTTGTTTTAGATAGAGAACAATAACAAAAAAGTCACAAACAAAAACAACAGAAAATTGGATTCAAGTCGAAAATCAGTAATTTTCATCGTTATCTGAATATTGATTTAAAGTTTCTTTCATTCTTTATCTTCATATAATAACTGTGATGATTATTTATTTCTCATATAAGAAGATACCATTTAGATGAAACTTTTTGACAGGCCACAAGAGAACGTACTAATATCTTGAAAATATTTCATTTAACAGAAGTATTTTCAAGTCACCTGAATTATTGAGTTTTATAACAGAAGTATTTTCAAATCACCTGAATTATTGATTTTTATAACAGAAGTATTTTCAAATCACCAGAATTATTGAGTTTTATAACAGAAGTATTTTCAAATCACCTGAATTATTGAGTTTTATAACAGAAGTATTTTCATATCACCTGAATTACTGATTTTTATAACAGACGAGTTTTTAAATCACCTGAATCATTGATTTTTATGCTTGAATAACAGCAGACTTCTTCAAATATCAAATTCGCTTTAAGTTACTAAATACAATAATAAGTATTTCAAATAATAAAAATCTAACAAATCTCACAAAAATAGTTGTAACACTAATTTTAAGATAACTAGAATTTATTGAAATTTCTAGAATTATTTTTCGTTATTGATCCAAGATTTGAACATTGTATTTGCTCAACATTTATTGCTTTAAGATAAAAAAAATATTTACTGGAATTCTACAAAAACGTATCTTGGAAGAATTAAACTTATACCAGCTTACAGATACATAACGAGCGTTTATGTGAGTTTGCCAGTAAGTTTACAAAGCGGTTAAATAAACTAACTAGCCGTTTTATTATTTTACGGACCGCAACACATCCGTTAAACACAGCAGCATAAGGCCGTCTTCCCTCAGTAGACATGTTGAGCTGTAGTCTTGAAATCTTATAAATGCTCTGGGCGATGGATTTAATGTTAGTTGTGTCATTTCGTTCCACAACATATTTTAACTGGCCCGGAAGAAATGGCTTCTGGGTAATTGAGTTGATCTTCTACTTCAGTTATACACAGTGGTCTTTCATTTACGCAACACGTTTCCCTTTGTCAGTAAGTAGGCTTAAATGCCTCGGACATTCATGCCATCAGTGCTACATTCATATAATAACATGTCTTTGAAAGTACATTAGTTTATTTTATCGTGGTATCTAGAATTCAATTAGGTCATTATGGCATCAGTTAATCGTCATAAATTCTAAGTGACAGTGTGTCATGGGTTTCTTATGCGAGTTCATTGAAGATAGACTTATTACTAAGAAGGGGTGTTACCTTTGGTAATATAGAATAAATAATAGATAATCTAGTTTTACTGGAGTTAGTACTTGTTTAATTTTATAGCGAGAAAAAAAAACATTATCGTGAAGAAATTCAAAAATTGTGTTTGTAAGATCAGGAAAATAACTAGAGCAATTGAATTATGCCGACATTTTAAATGTTTCATAATATATCATATTTTGCCAAGAATAAACGATATCATTATAAGTAGAGCAAAAAGTCTTTAAAGATTTGATTTTCATCACTAACATCTACCTATAATGCTGTTAACACTACATTAGATCCCAAATTGGTTAGATAGCACGTTCAATGTTTAAGTTGTACGTATAATTCAGTAGTCTTACGTAAATTACAAAGTTTGAATCAGAGCTATAATATTAAAAGTCAATAATAGTAAAGATTACATACTGTCTGTTTACAATTTGCAGGATATTATTCTGAGCTTATAAGTTAAGATATTTTTTCCGAAAGTTTTGAGACCAACAAATTTCTCCATCATTCATTTGGGCGGCAAAGAGGTTCCATATTCCACTAGGTAAGTTGGAGACTGGAAGACGTAGAATGAAACATTATCATAGGAAATGTGTACTTACCTCCGTGTTCATGAAACATTATCATAGGAAATGTGTACTTACTTCCGTGTTCATGAAACATTATCATAGGAAATGTGTACTTACTTCCGTGTTCATGAAACATTATCATAGGAAATGTGTACTTACCTCCGTGTTCATGAAACATTAGCATAGGAAATGTGTACTTACCTCCGTGTTCATTAAACATTATCATAGAAAATGTGTACTTGCCTGCGTGTTCATGAAACATTATCATAGGAAATGTGTACTTACTTCCGTGTCCATGAAACATTATCATAGGAAATGTGTATTTACCTCCGTGTTCATGAAACAGTAAAGTACTGCCAGGAAAATCCCCTAAGGCCGAAAAGAGAAGAAGAATCTTCTGATCAATAAAATTATATTTGTTAATCTTATTGTCGTAGTACATTGTAAATATTTGTTAATGTCATATATTCAAGTACGAAAACATTAAATTGCATATAATATAAAATAATAACAACTATAATAAATTTTTTGTTATGAGTGTGAGAAAGCATCCGGCCTTTGGTCAGTCTCTAAAGAATTAGGGGATTACAGTACTTTAAGTGATTAGAAAATGAGTTAGGGAGTATAGGTACTAGCTTTCTAAGCTCAGCCAGTATGAAGACTACAAAATATGCTATGGTTGCGAAACGTTTTAATCTTGTATACGGGGAACAGATGTAAGGTCACAATAAAAAGGGGGCCGGTTCGACGTGGATCTGAGAAAGAAACGGACAAAAAAATCCGGAAGATGTGAAAGTGAACAAATAAACCTAGAGAGGTGAAGGAAGAAAGTAATATGCTGCCAGTAAGTGAGATTTCTAAAGCTATATGTTATTGATTATCTGCAATAAACATAAGTTTCTTATGTTTACATTGGTATAAGTGAATTGCTAATAGGAAAATCTACAACTTAGATAACGTTGATGGATATAAAAAGGAATAGCGAAGTGCGAGTATAGCACGATCGTAGCATTTTCGACATCAGTGGCATAGCGGTAAGTCAACGGACCTAGAACTCAGGTTTCGATTCACATGGTGGGCACGGCACAGATATCCCATTGTGTAACTATGTGCTTAACTATGAACAAACAAAAACATTAAATAAAATCAATAGAAAATTCAGGCATGATTTGACGTGCATGCTTTATGTGGTATAAAAATATCACAAGAACAAAACACGAAATAATATAACAAACAAGATATTAGTCTTAAGCAGGGGATCGTATAACATTTTTGACCCTTAAGAGTCAAACTTGAGTGTTATATAGGCAAACAAAGTTTTTTTTATTAACGATGTTCGATGTTGGTTAGAAACTCAAAATAAGAACTATCATCAAATGCTTTTAAGCAAAGATGGCCTTTGATAAACAAATATATTTGTTCGTAGTAGCGATAACAAGTGGTTCTTTTGTTACACAATGTTACACAATGAGCTTTCTGTATTGTGTCCACCACGAACATTGAACCCCGGTTTTTAACATTAGAAGCTTTTAGAGTTATTGCTGAGCCACAGAGGAGCTACATAGATAAACCAACTAATATGATGCCGAAGTCTTCCAAATTCCACTTTTAACCTTTAAAAAATTACTCTGTTTGTCTTGATATTGCCCCATAGATGATGAAGGTTATCTGCTCTAACCGTCCATAATTTTTAACTGATAGACTAAAGGAAAGCCATCTAGCCGATAGTGCCACCGCAAACTTAGGCTATTCTAATCGAATAGTGGGATATAACCATCACTCTCAAAATGTATCCACGGTCCCAAAGTGCAAAATACGATTTTTGTTTCTTTGCGATAATAACACGCGAACCTTGGGTCCATAGGTTCATAGTCCGAGAGGCTAACCATTTAGCCACACCCGGCATTAGAAAGTCATATTTACTTGTAGGTGAGATATATCCAATGTCTGAATATTTACTTGTTTGGGATCGTGTAGCAGTGTGGTATTATGTGAGACGTCTATAAATATTTCAATTTCCTAATACTTTTTCAAGAAGTTAAAAAATATTTGAATTGAGTTCCCCAGAGCACTAACGAAATGTCACGTTTCTTCCCGTGATTGTTAAACTAGATGAAAATTAAATCCTAGCAACATTTTAATTTAATTAATTCGTAACGTTCTCTTTCTGGTTAAAATAGTCCTACACGCGTTGATAAGGTCAGTATGGAATAGCAAAATAATTCTTCAAAATCTGGAATGTTAGTTTTTTGAAAAGAGGACCAAATTTCATTAAAAAATAACTAATCATAAGAAAAAGGCTAGAAATTTACAGAAATATTAAAAATTTCTTACCTGAGAGGATTGTAAAACGGCATTTGTTATCATGTAAGCTTCTTCTAAAGTGGCGTCATCTTTCGGGTTGACACAAAACAACAAGTGAGTAATTCCTAACAACGGGAACAACAACACCGTAGCTTTGATGGCTCTCCTAGAATCAGAATTTAGCTGTTTTAAAACTATGCTAAAATTCACACGATTAAAAATGTTTCAATGTAAATTTTGCCAAAAGTTCTGATAAAAGCTGTTTCATTGTTAAAAAAAATTATTGCACAACATTCTGTCCACAAAATACAAATCTTATTTTTGAATTCATGCTGTTTGAAGCAACTAAACGGTAATTATGCAGTAATTATTCAACTTTTACGAACTACCAACTGGTAAATTATCTCAAAGAATAATGATTTATTTCATATCCTGGATAAGTTAACAATGAATATTTTCTTCTGTATATATATTTTACTCGAAAAGGAGATTAAAACGTTTGTGAAACACACACACCTAATATGGGTAGCTTCTCGAGAGCGAAGTCTCGTGACCAACACCCGAATTATATTCACCAAGAAGACAAAATTTACCTATATGTGGAGAAATCAATCAGAAATATGTCATCAGTAAAGAAACAAGAAAATGTTCGTTTCCTTACGTACGTCTAAATACATAGAAACACAAATCGAAACACAATTTCTGATTTATTTGTCTACTTATACGAATAGTTTGTTTGTTTGTTTGTTTTGAATTTTGCGCAAGGTTATCTGCGCTAGCCGTCCTTAATTTAGTAGTGATAGACAAAAGAGAAGATGCCTAGTCAACACCGCCCGCTCCGACTCTTGGGTTACTCTTTTACCAATGGATAGTGGGATTGACTGTTATATTATAATGCCCAAACGGCTGAAAGAGCGAATACTTTCGGTGACATGGATTCGAACCCGCGACCAGCAGATTGTGAGTCGAGCGCCGTAACCACCAGACCCCTCTACGAAAGGTATTATATATAGTTCAAAGGCTCAGCGGCAAGTCTGCAGGCTTACAATGCTAGAAAATGGTTTCTGATATCCGTGATAGATAGAGCACAGATAGCCCATCGTGTAGTTTTGTGCTTAACAACAACTAAAACCAAATTTCCAAATTATATTAATTTACGCTGGAAAAAAAAAGAGTAAAATTATACAAAAAGTACCGGCAACATATTTTTAAGAACTTTGTTAAAGTTCCACGTTTTAAAGTTTAGTTTGTTTTAAATTTCGCGCAAAGCTACACGAGGGATATCTACGCTAGCATTCCCTGATTTAACAATGGTAGACTAGAGAGAAAGCAACTAATTAACACCATCTACTGACAACTCTTGGTATAACAACGAATATAGTGATTGACCGTCACATTATAACGACCCCACGGCTGAAAGGAAGAGCAAGTTTGGTGAGGGGTGCATCTTAAGCAACATTATTAAGCAACTGGATATTTTGCATAATTTTAGAGTAATTTTTCAGATATTTTCCGTTAAATACGGATATTTTATAAAGGTTCCTAAAAATGTGTTACAGATAGTTGTTTCTTAGTTTTACTGATTGCTTTTTTTAATGTACACAACCATCTTTTGGTTATGTGAAATTTAGAAACTATTATTTTCAATTTTTGTTAACAATTCGAACTGTGAATAGCCAGGTATCATTAGTTGTAGTCGAGAAAAGCTTAAATTCTAAAATAGGTTTTAATGAGCATTCGTGAGTCAGATTTTCCATAAAAGCAAAATTGAAAATTTTGTTTCGCTTTTTCTGAAGAAGTAGGAAATCAACTTTTTTTGTATCAGTTCACAGGATATCGGTTAAAACAATAATACATATGCATTTGTATATTGTTTATTGCATAGAGTTCTAAATATGTGGAAATAAAGAATTGACAAAATACATTTTCTGAGCATGAATTAAAAAAACAGAGTATTTATCATAATCTGTATTATTTTATATACACATAGTAACTTCAGATGAAATACCTAATCCTTGACATTGAGAACAATACAAAAGTATGGAGTTTTAATGCACCCCAGACTTACAGACTTACTCTGTTTGATCAGAGTATGCAAGCAACAAATGTATTGAAAAAAAAGAGAGACAAAGTGTTGTTCAGATAACATCTGAAAGCATTTAGAGTATTTGAATTGGAAAATGAAAAATATAGATCAACTTGGACACCAGGACTTTCCAGAAAGAGACCTACTACAAGTCATACCACCGCCGTGGTAAGCAAAGTACATCTTATAATAGTTGAAAATCCACGAACACAAAGGTAAGTGGCAAAAGCCGTACACATATCCATTTCAACACTATGCTTGCTATATACTCATGAAACATCTTCGTTTGGAAACGAGGCCAACAAGATACGAGCTCACCAAAAAAAAGGCTTCCAATTGTACCTCTCTTTTCAACCGTCACATACCTCAAGCAGCTGGAATGACATACTGGTCTTCATACTATTCCATACGAAGGAATAGAGGTCAAATCGTTTCTGGATTCCTCTGCGATCAGACTGTTGTTACACCGCAGTCTTCGTACACTAGATAGTTGATGAAAAGCAAGTAGGGAGGAGGTTTGTGCTTTGGACTTGACAGCCTTACGATGAAGCGTTTTGCAATTAAACTACGTTTCAGTGCGATTGACAAGATGCATGTTCTTCAGATAGGGCATGACCTAACGTAGTGACACTGACTGTAACAAACTGGTGAGGCTCCAAAATCGTTTTAATATAACGTATAACACGGTGTTGATTTATTTGACATCTTTATATGGCTGATTCCTTCACTCTAAGCTGCCTATTTGCGTACATGTAAAATGTTTTGATCAGATTATGCAAGCAACACTCTGTTTTTATATCATTTCATAAATAAAAGGTATTGAAAAAGAGAGAGAGACAAAGTGTTGTTCAGTATATTCCTCAACTCACCACTTAAGAGTCTAAAATATTGTAACTATTTCATAAACATGTGTAAATATTGTAACTATTTCATAAACATGTGTAAATATTGTAACTATTTCATAAACATGTAACGGTCAATCGCACTATTCGTTGGTAAAAGAGTAGCCCAAGAGTTGGCGGTGGGTGGTGATGACTAGCTACCTTCCCTCCAGTCTTACACTGCTAACTTAGGGACGGCTAGCGCAGATAGCCCTCGTGTAGTTTTGCGCGAAATTCAAAAAACAAACAAACAATACTGTCAGATTCTTTACAAATAATACAAACTTAGATGTCTTAATTAAGAGGTGTTTCTTCACTGAAGAATGAAAAGGATGCCAATTGTATGCAAGGATAGTTTTCACAAAAGTATTGTTGGAGCTTTAAAGAGATTCGACATTATAGGTAAGCGTCAGCTAAGTTTCATTGAATTAGACTGAATTTAGTAAAATGATCAACAACGATTACACATTATAACGCTCCCACGGCTGAAAGGGTGAGCATGTTTGGTGTGACGAACCCGCGACCCTCAGATTGCGAGTCGAGCGCCCTAACCACCTGGCCATGCCGGGCCCTGAACCTGACAGTAAATACCTAAAGGCATACTTAGAAAAGTATAAAGAAACGGCTTTTGTCCCCAAGATGTAAGTACATTTATTTTTCAGTTTGGGGTAGAAAATTATTTTTAGCATTTCATTATTAAATAGATCAATTAATATTTCTCAAACTTTTTAGGTCAACCTAAGACGCAAGGTGGCAGTGCATGAATTAAATGAACTCTGAGTTGTCACCTCATTTTATCCAGCTGATAGAAAGAAATAAACTTGGAAAAATAGTATTTACTGGACAGACAGCCCTGAGCGACGAGATGTCACAACACACACACACACAACAAAAAAAAAAGATTTAGCGAAGTCTTTCTTCAAGTTTACAAACTATTGTGAGTGAAGTGGGTGGCTAACGTGACTGCCGTATGGAGTTTTCTCACGTGGCTGTACCGTTATACAGACGTTATAGCTACCAGCGATGAACTTCCAACATATTTAAAAGATTTTGCAAACTTGAGGAAATACCAATATTCTGAGTCACCGAATACAGGAAATTGAAATCACCAGTCCATGTGTGCATCAACCAATACTATGATGCTTTTGAGACCGAGAAATGAATGAGATTTTTAAGAAATACTGGCCTACGCAAATTGAGAATCAATCTGGTTTTTTACCATCTCTTGTTAAAATTCAAGTTGCGCGAAATCCTATGGGGCTTTCACAAGTAAATAAGTGGTTTTGAACGTACATTCTTAGAAGTGAATTACATATCACTGACGTTTTTCCAACATTTGATTCAAAGGATTTAAGAAAAGAAAATAAGAAAACGAAAGCTTAACTCATCATAGATTTTAGCCATATTTCAACAGATTTATAACATCTTTCTTAATGAAGTTATAAAAAAATACTTTGAAAACGTTTCGCAGTGGCTTAACCAATGTATTCTAACTGTCTTATAAAAAGCTATTCAGAGAAACGTATGTTAAAAAATACTTTGAAAACGTTTCGCAGTGGCTTAACCAATGTATTCTAACTGTCTTATAAAAAGCTATTCAGAGAAACGTATGTTAAAGAACCTCGAGGACGGGTGTTTAATTATTTTTTTTCAATAATCACAAATGTTTAAAAAGACGCTTGTTAAAAAACTCACAAGTTACCAACTAAGTTTATTTGTTTGTTCTTAAGAACAAAGCTACACAATGGAATATCTGTGTTGTGCTATCGGTGTTCAGCGTTATAAGCCGACAGACTTCTTGCCGAGTCACTGAGACCCAGCAAAGTTGCACTGAATACTTCATAGATCTCTTCGAAATATGTTTCTATTATACTGTGTAACTATAAAGCTGGCGAGACAAAATTCCTTTTCAGAGGCCTTTCAGTGGGTCAGCGGTAAGTTTTTAGGACTTACAACGCTAAATTTCGGGGTTGAATTCCTTACAGTGGAAAGAGAACGCAAGCAGCCCAGTGTTTGGCTTTGCGATAAAACAAAACTTTTCAGTGTATTGTATTTAACGAACCATTAAAATAGCGACTGAAGTATTTTATGTCTGCGGACTTCCAACGCTAGAAACCGGGTTTCGATACCCGTGGTGGGCAGAGCACAGATAGCCCATAGTTTTGAACTGAAGGACTAAAGGGAGCAGCAGCCAACAGCACCTATTTGCGCATAACCGTCCTTAATTTTGAACTGATAAATTAAAGGGAACGCAGCTAGTCAACATCACAAACTCAAAGTGCGGAACACATTCTTTTTTGCTTTTTTTTTTTGCGGCAAGGAGATGTGAATCATGACCTCTTGCACTCACACTTCGATCTCTGTAACCACTAGCCCACGTCCAGTCTCGACACCATTTCAACTCACTTTTAAATACAATTAACACTATATACATCAGTCATTCATGAGACACTTAAGTATAATGGTGAAACTAACGTAATATGATTTACTGTATGGTTCGAAATATCAAAAATAAAAACATCACACAAGTACTAAATAATATATCAAACCCTTTTTTCTCAGCAATTCCATTACGGTTTTCAGTAAGAAAAGCAACCTCATTGATAGTAGACTACAACAAACAAAG